GGTCTTGGTTCTCATTTTTTCCCCTTGTCCCTGCCCTACCTTCACCCCTCCTCCCCTCCCCCCTTCCAACACTTTAATTCCATTTTTACATTTTCTCATATTTTTTTCCTTTTCTTTTATTCCCCCTTCCCTATCCTTCTCACTGTCCCTACCCCTTTGGTCCTTTTCTTCCTATTTGCTAATTGTCCCATTAGGATCTTGAGGACTATTTTAGTTTTTCACACTGGAGAAACTATTCAGTATTTGCATATGTGTGACTTATTTGTTTCACTTAGAAGTATATCCTCAAAATGTATCCATTTACCTATGAATGAATCTACTTTCTCATTCTCAATTTAAAATTTTGTAAAAGAGTTATGGAAGTTAACTGAGCTCTTATAATTGCATGAGAATTATGCATTATTTGGTATAATTTTAATATAAATATTGACAATAAAGATATGAGATATGTGGGATTAAAAAGAGAGGTTTTGGGATAAAATTCTAATTCTTTTCCACTATAAACATGGGTGCACATATATCACTGTGGTATGATTCTTTTAATTCTTTTGGAAAGATTCCCAACAGAGGGATGGATGGGTCAAATGGAACCTCTAATCCTGGTTCTTTGAGGTATCTCCATATTGATTTCCATAGTGGTTGCACCAGTCTGCACTCCCACCAACGATGGAGAAGGGTTCTTTTCTCCCCACAACCCCGCCAACATTTGTTATTTTGTGATTTCTTGATAGCAGCCATTCTTTGTGGGGTGAGGTGGAATCTCAGTGTTGTTTTCATCTGCATCTCTCGAATGACCAGTGATGTGGAACATTTTTTCATATATTTACTTGCTGATTTTATTTCTTTGTCTAAGAAATGTCTGTTCATTTCAGATGCCCATTTTAGAATTGGATCTTTATATTTGGGGGGCTGGTTGTTTTGAGTTATTTATATATTTTAGATAATAGTCCTTTGTCTGAGGAGCAGCTAGTAAAAAGTTTTTCCCACATTGTAGGTTGTTTCTCAGTTCTGTTCATGGTTTCTTTTGCAGTGCAGAAGCTTTTTAATAAGATGAGATCCCACTTGTTGATTCTTTCTGCTAGTTCCCATGCTACTGAGGATTTGTTCATAAAGTCTTTTCCTATGTCAATGTCTTCCAGAGTTCTGCCTAACTTATCATCCAGCAAGTTTAGTGTTTTTGTTTTTATATTTAGATCTTTAATCCACTTGGATTTTACTTTAGTACATGGTGACAGATAAGGGTCTAGTTTTAATCTTTTGCAGGTTG